ATTTGGTCAATAACAAAAGTTTCTCAATACTTTGTTATATACCCTTTGTTGGCAATGACACAGGTCAAACGTTTTCTGTAAGTCTTCACAAGGTTTTCACACACTGTTGCTGGTATTTTGGCCCATTCCTCCATGCAGATCTCCTCTAGAGCAGTGATGTTTTGGGGCTGTCGCTGGGCAACACAGACTTTCAACTCCCTCCAAAGATTTTCTATGGGGTTGAGATCTGGAGACTGGCTAGGCCACTCCAGGACCTTGAAATGCTTCTTACGAAGCCACTCCTTCGTTGCCCGGGCGGTGTGTTTGGGATCATTGTCATGCTGAAAGACCCAGCCACGTTTCATCTTCAATGCCCTTGCTGATGGAAGGAGGGTTTCACTCAAAATCTCACGATACATGGCCCCATTCATTCTTTCCTTTACACGGATCAGTCGTCCTGGTCCCTTTGCAGAAAAACAGCCCCAAAGCATGATGTTTCCAACCCCATGCTTCACAGTAGGTATGGTGTTCTTTGGATGCAACTCAGCATTCTTTGTCCTCCAAACATGACGAGTTGAGTTTTTACCAAAAAGTTATATTTTGGTTTCATCTGACCATATGACATTCTCCCAATCCTCTTCTGGATCATCCAAATGCACTTCAGACGGGCCTGGACATGTACTGGCTTAAGCAGGGGGACACGTCTCGCACTGCAGGATTTGAGTCCCTGGCGGCGTAGTGTGTTACTGATGGTAGGCTTTGTTACTTTGGTCCCAGCTCTCTGCAGGTCATTCACTAGGTCCCCCCGTGTGGTTCTGGGATTTTTGCTCACCGTTCTTGTGATCATTTTGACCCCACGGGGTGAGATCTTGCGTGGAGCCCCAGATCGAGGGAGATTATCAGTGGTCTTGTATGTCTTCCATTTCCTAATAATTGCTCCCACAGTTGATTTCTTCAAACCAAGCTGCTTACCTATTGCAGATTCAGTCTTCCCAGCCTGGTGCAGGTCTACAATTTTGTTTTTGGTGTCCTTTGACAGCTCTTTGGTCTTGGCCATTGTGAAGTTTGGAGTGTGACTGTTTGAGGTTGTGGACAGGTGTATTTTATACTGATAACAAGTTCAAACAGGTGCCATTAATACAGGTAACGAGTGGAGGACAGAGGAGCCTCTGAAAGAAGAAGTTACAGGTCTGTGAGAGCCAGAAATCTTGCTTGTTTGTAGGTGACCAAATACTTATTTTCCACCATAATTTGCAAATAAATTCATTAAAAATCCTACAATGGGATTTTCTGGATTTTTTTTCCTCAATTTGTCTGTCATAGTTGACGTGTACCTATGATGAAAATTACAGGCCTCTCTCATCTTTTTAAGTGGGAGAACTTGCACAATTGGTGGCTGACTAAATACTTTTTTTCCCCACTGTATAACAAAGTATTGAGAAACTTTTGTTATTGACCAAATACTTATTTTCCACCATAATTTGCAAATAAATTCATAAAACATCATACAATGTGATTTTCTGGATTTTCTTTTCTCATTTTGTCAGTCATAGTTGACGTGTACCTATGATGAAAATTACAGGCCTCTCTCATCTTTTTAAGTGGGAGAACTTGCACAATTGGTGGCTGACTAAATACTTTTTTCCCCCACTGTAAACCTCCGACTTCAACTGTACAGAGTACAGCTATACAACAATCCCTCAATAAAGATATGTATTAATATGAAGTGTATTAGAGTAAATATAAAGGAAGCCTGGTTGAAAAGGTCTCAGCTAAATTATTATTTGAGCTGAGAAATGTACACTGTCTCCCTGTTCAGTGGTGAAGAAACACCGATCCACCTAGACCCTCCAAGGACTAGCATTTGTACTTTCCCCTCTAAGTGGTGAAACAGAGAGAAAGGGCCTGACAGAAGAATCAAAAATGCAAGGTGAAATGCAATTTCCACTCATAATAAATGCTGTCGCTAAATACAATATTATAGAAAAAGATTAGACTAGAAACTATAAATTACATGTGACAAGGCCCTAAGACACTGGGAGAAGTAGATGGGGCATTTTGCCGTCCCTCATCCCTCAGTGAGGGTAATGAATTGCACAATTGGAAGGTCAGACCAACAACAAAAAATAGAAGGAAAATAATAAAAGAGAGAAGAACTGGCACAGAATCCGCAGTCTGTTTATTGGCTCTTAATGAAAACCAATTTATCTAAATTACCACCAGGGAGGATTCCTAATTAAAGCTGGGGAAAGAGGGTGGTATTTTTGTCAGTGAAAAGTGTGCTGCTGTTTTTTCCAATTCAAATCTATTGCAGGGAAAGAAAACACAGCCGTTCGGGCTGTGGCACTATCCAAGTAACGCTTTTCCCTTCTCCTTTTTCTGTCTGGGTTTAGTAGTTTATTATAATTAAAGCCAGGCGTCAAGTTAATGTCGTATTCCATTAAATCGCAAAGAGAAAGCATATTTGAACTATGTATGTCTTATTAATCCAGATATCTATGGATTACTTTGAGAAAAAAGGCCCTGGTTCTATATAGTGGAAATGCTTTTTAGGGATATTTCTGTGTTTTGAGAGTAATGAACTGTAATGAAAATGTCTGCTTTACTTCCCCCCACAAATAAATCATTTTATACGAAAGTATAGATAGTACACCAATAAGGTCAGATTTTGTTACAATGTGGTATTTGATATTATATATCATACAAGCTTCCAAACATAGGGCTTTATCTTAATTAAGTTGTATCAATGTTGTGTACTTTCACAGTATCTTTGGTTTTATAGTATGAACATGTACTGTAATTTACATAGTTGTACTTCATATGTACATTTGTGTTCCTATTATGAATTGAGTTTTACACATCTTGCTCTGTTATTGCTTTCTCGATAGGCTCATTTCTAACAAATGTGCAGCAATACATTTACATTTTCATTGAATTCATGTCACGCCCTGGCTCTGGGGACTATGTTATGTTGAGCCAGGGTGTGTGATTCTATGTTTGTATATCTATGTTGGCCTGAGTGACTCCCAATCAGAGGCAACGAGTGTCAGCTGGTTGTCTCTGATTGGGAGCCATATTTAACTGTCTGTCTTTTCACTTTGTGTTGTGGTTTCTTGTTCCGTGTTGGTTTGTTTATGTAACCAAGGACGTCACGTTTCGTTGTTTTGATCGTGTGATCATTCGTATAATAAATATGTTTGCTTTCAACGCTGCGCCTTGGTCCTCTCCCTCCTGTAACGATCGTGACAGAAGAAACCACCATAACAGGACCAAGCAGCGTGAAGAAGAGAGAGGATGGACTTGGGAGCAGTGGAGTAGGAGTCTCGACTGGGCCAAGCCAAGAGAAGAGGAGAGAGGTTGGACTTTGGAGCAGTGGGGTGAGAGTCTGGCGAGAACGATGGAGGCCTGGCCCACGGGGAGGAGAGACCCCCAGAATTTTTTTAGGGGGGGGCTCACGACGTCGGGGCAGCAGGAGGCCGCGATAGAGCGGTCCAGCGGGTTGGCAGAAGAGGCCGCCAGGTTACGGGAGTCACTGGTCACCAGGGGGAAGGAGGTTGTAGAGGCACGGCGAGAGGTACTGGCGTGTGTTGCCAGTCCGGTCCGGCCTGTTCCTGATCCCCACGTAGGGCCAGTGGTGTGTGTTCCCAGTACGGTCCGGCCTGTTCCTGCCACTCCCACCAAGTCTGTGGTGCGCGTCGCCAGCCCAGTCCGGCCCATCCAAGCTCCCCGCACCAAGTCTGTGGTGCGCGTCACCAGCCCAGTCCAGCCCATTCCTGCTCCCCGCACCAAGTCTGTGGTGCGTTTCGTCAGCCCTGTCCGGCCCGTTCCTGCTCTCCGCACCAAGTCTGTGGTGCGCGTCGCCAGCCCAGTCCGGCCCATTTCTGCTCCCCGCACCAAGTCTGTGGTGCGTTTCGTCAGCCCTGTCCGGCCCGTTCCTGCTCTCCGCACCAAGTCTGTGGTGCGCGTCGCCAGCCCAGTCCGGCCCATCCAAGCTCCCCGCACCAAGTCAGTGGTGCGCGTCGTCAGCCCTGTCCGGCTCATTCCTGCTCCCCGCACCAAGTCAGGGGTGCGCTTCGTCAGCCCGGTCCGGCCCATTCCTGCTCCCCGCGCCAAGTCAGTGGTGTGCTTCGTCAGCCCAGTCCGGCCTGTCCCTGCTCCACGCACCAAGCCTACGGTGTGCGTCGTCAGCCTGGTAAGGCCCGTTCCTCCTCCACGCACCAAGCCAGGGGTGCGCGTCGTCAGTCCAGCACAACCCGTGCCTGGGTCATGTCCGGAGCCGGATCCGCCGCCGAGGCGGAGTGCCCACCCGGTCCCTCCCCTGTTGTGGTTGTTTGGCGCGGTCGGAGTCCGCGCCTTTGGGGGGGGGTACTGTCACGCCCTGGCTCTGGGGACTATGTTATGTTGAGCCAGGGTGTGTGATTCTATGTTTGTATATCTATGTTGGCCTGAGTGACTCCCAATCAGAGGCAACGAGTGTCAGCTGATTGTCTCTGATTGGGAGCCATATTTAACTGTCTGTCTTTTCACTTTGTGTTGTGGTTTCTTGTTCTGTGTTGGTTTGTTTATGTAACCAAGGACGTCACGTTTCGTTGTTTTGATCGTGTGATCATTCGTATAATAAATATGTTTGCTTTCAACGCTGCGCCTTGGTCCTCTCCCTCCTGTAACGATCGTGACAATTTATAACAATATGAAAGTAGAGACAGTATCATTCCTAGCATGGAATTAGGATTCCTCCCACTGTGGTAAAATAGAGCATTCCACAAAGACATGATTCTTAATTGCACAAATATTTCTTCTTTCTTATCACAGATTTACAGTAGATATCATTCAAAACAAATTGCATTGTCTACACATGTAGTCACGCATGGTAAACGCAAAGTTTTCGAGGTGTCCCTTGCTACGCAGCTGTGGTACAAAACACCATAGCACAACTTTGGATTCTAGAAAACATTTCATATTCTTTAAAATGGCAACTTTTTGTTGTAGTTGTGTTGTGGTCCCTCATTGTTGACTTATAGGTCCGCAGGGGTATTCTGAACCACCTCTATCTCATTAAAGTGAATGTATTTGGAGAGGGGTGACTAGAAGCCAAAGTGCAACAAAGTGCAGACCTGTGAGTGCACTGGGAGAGGCCAAAAAAACATGGCAACAGAGGCGAGAGGCACATTTGTAAAATTAAGTCCAAAACAAAGTGAAGGTGTTAGCGCTAGTAGCAGCTTGATGCATGCCAAGCACTAGACCTGGAGTGCTGACATGGCTAACTCTCTCTCTCTCCCCCCACCCTCCTCTCTCTCTCCATCCCACCCCCCCTCCCTCTCTTCCAGATAATGGTGCTGACAGACCCTGAGTTTGAGAGTAGTGTGCTCATCAGCTCGGATGAAGGAGCAAGCTATCAGAAATACCGCCTCAGCTTCTACATCCTAAACCTCCTGTTCCACCCAACAAAGGAGGATTGGGCCCTAGCCTACAGCCACGACCAGAAGGTGAGCTCCGTGTCGTTTTTTCTCCACAGTTGGTTGTTTTGTACAGTATGTTTTGGATTTCAAACTGTGATACACAGTCGGATAAAGCTCCAAGCTGTTGATGTTTTATATTTTTTCATCCCGTTTCCAACGGCGCTGTATTGTTTTATTGAATATTCTTCTGTCGTCTTAATATGATTTATTTACCTTCTTGAAGTTTTGATTAGAAAATTGATAATTTTTATCAGTTTGATGATACTTTAGTTAGACGTTACCTCATGCTGTGGAAAACTCTGTACACCCATTTCACACACAGGTCACATCCCATATAACCCCCTGTGAAGAAGACCTACCATTATTGTCAATGAGTATGACCTGGCTACCAAGATGTTTATCACAACAGGGGAGTCTGGTTAGGTTGGAGGAGGGAGAAGAGTGACACCTTGGGTTGCTAACTAACCCCAATATCAGTCATAACAATGAAACCTGGAGCGATTCAGAGGTTGTCACTATAAGAGGTCCTAATGAAAAAAGAGTCTCCACACAGTCACTTTGATCAGATGCAATTTTACAGTTGTAATTTGCTAAGCTTTCGGTCTGTGATGGACTTCGTTGGAGAATGCGGACTATACGAGTTTATAACAGAACCTTTTGGGCTGTTTAATGCACACTATAGATGTTGGTGATGTTTTGTTTGCATTAAAAGGATGGGCCTTTGTAGACATGGCTCAGAAGACATATAATTGTGGACATGGAACACTTTCAGAAGACATACCTTTGTAGACATGGAACACTCCCAGAAGACATACATTTGTGGACATGGAACACTCTCAGAAGACATACCTTTGTAGACATGGGAGACTCTCAGAAGACATATATTTTTGTACATGGAACACTCTCAGAATAAATAACTTTGTGGACATGCAACACTCTCAGAAGACATACGTACAGTTCTGATTAAATGATTCCTTAAGCATTGACGCAACGTGGAATCTGATGGTGATTAGTAAATTAGATAATGTCGTATTTTTTATTGGGATTCCATACAAGTGCAACTTTAAAACAGTCTGTTCTGTACTGATCACATATTGAGTTTTTCTATATTCAAACAGCTTGGTCTCAAGCTTTGTCAGATCACTTTACTATTTGTCTCCAGTCTTTTTGTACTCAACGCAGGTCAATCTCTATCTCTTTACTCAATGTCTGGAGTAAACTGTTCTATTTAGAGTTCTAGAACTCTGGGTGACCTCTCTTGACTCTTATATCAGAACGTGTGGGCAGTGTAAAGACATGATTACTGTTGATGTAGCTGTTCCTCTCTCTCTCTCTCTGACTAAGGTCGATACAATTAGAGCATCTGTGACACGTCTCAAAAAAGTATGAGGGTGGAAAGTATGGAAACAACGCAACATAATAGATAACTTTTTTTCTTCTTGTTCTTCTGGGTTCCTCTGGGACTTTTCAACTGTTCAAGTCTCCTAATTGACTTCAGTATTGGAGCTGCTTGTCTTATAAATATTTTGACAAGAGCTGTTATGCTAGACAATGTCAGGCCCGAGTTGTTTTGTGCAGTTCAGTTATTCATGTAACACCCTCCCTGAAAGCAAAAATGATATTTTTCTGAATGCATTTATAGTCCGAAATGTATTGGGTTGGGGGGGGGTTGGGAAGCTAGTGGTGAACGTCTCAAGGGAGAAGTGAAGACGAACCTTTAAAAAACACAAGTCCCCTCGACTCGAGTTGTATTCCATTCTTAACATATTGCATCTCGACTCATACACCTCGTCGGACCTGGGAAAAAAGGCCTTGGGTCCCTAATGGATTGTGTAAAGGAAGGGTTCATCAAAATGTTAACTTGGTGGGACTGTTGAGTTCAACTATTCAGTACACATTGCAGTTACTGTGGTCACTTGGGGATATGGGGTTCTATATCGTGGAGCTCCGCCCCATAGGGGAGCTCTGCTCCTAATGGTTTACCCTCTGCCCTAAGGCAGCAGCAGCCTGAGACAAAATTATGCACACACCTACAGCCAATAGGAGTACAGGTGTCCCTATAAGAGGGGGTGCCTCCCCTCAATCAGCCTCCCTTTTTCTTCAGCGACTGGACTAGACTGAAGAAGCCAAGAAGAGAGCTCATTAAGGAATGGCGCCCCCCCCTGCAGCGCCAGAGGTGCCGGCGAGAGAGCTCATTAAAGCGTCATCCTGGCATCACCCGAAGGGCGGCCAGAAGAGACGCCGTTTATGACAGGCGAGGGGGAGAGAACGGAAGACGGCACAGCGCCTGCTGTGACCGAGCCCACTTTCCCCCCCCACTCTACCGTTGAGTGTATGGAGGAGAATGTTTTTTGTTGATGTGTGTAATAAAGAGTTGGCTCTACTTGACACTGTCAAAAAATAGCCCCTTTTCCTTAATACATCCGAGAGCGTTCGACCTTCCTCACTCTCGCTCTCTCTCTTACCACTATGAGTGCAGCTCAGCCCACCATGGTGCGTTGCTGAATGCACACATAAGGCAGGTATATAAAAGGTATTAAGTGTACCTTATAAAGACCTCACTTTACAGACTCCTAGGAGTGCTGTAGTGAGTGTCTCACATAGCAGGCTGCAGTCTCAGCCAGATAATGGCATGATGACGCGACCGCTATTCGGGATGGCGCTCTGTCTCAGGCTAACGCCTCAGTCAGTGCAGTTCAGACCCGTGCTGCGTTCAGGGAGGGCCTGATTACTACGGTTACGGGCGTAACCAACGTATCGGCGCCCCCGTTTCTCTCAGAACGCGCTGATAATAACCACATTGGGGATGGCGCACTATCACAGACTAAGGTCTCTGTTAGTACGACCCAGACCCATGCTGCGTTCAAGAAGGGCCCGATTACCACGGTCACGAAGGTGCCCAGTGTATCGGCGCCCCCACCTTTTTCTGAACGCGCCCAGGCTCACCACACTGAGTGTAGTTCAGCCCACCAGAGGTGCAGAGCTGAACGCACACAGGAGGTGAAAGGAGGAATAATACCTAGACGCCGTCTTGGTTTATCTCAAGAGACCTCACATTACAGACTCCAAGGAGTACTGTAGTGAGTGCCTCTCATAGCAGGATGCAGTCTCAGTTTGGAGACACCTCCAAACAAGCTTCAATGCCATACAACACTCCTTCAGTAGCCTCCAACTGCTCTTAAATACTAGTAAAACTAAATGCATGCTTTTCAATCGAACGCTGCTGGCATCCGCCCACCCGACTAGAATCACCACTCTCGACGGGTCTGACCTAGAGTATGTGGACAACTACAAATACCTAGGTGTCTGGTTAGACTGTAAACTCAACTTCCAGACTCACATAAAGAATCTCCAATCCAAAGTTAAATCTAGAATCGGCTTCCTATTTCGCAACAAAGCCTCCTTCACTCATGCTGCCAAACATGCCCTCGTAAAACTGACTATCCTACCGATCCTTGACTTCGGCGATGTCATTTACAAAATAGCCTCCAACACTCTACTCAGCAAATTGGATGTAGTCTATCACAGTGCCATTCGTTTTGTCTCCAAAGCCCCATACACTACCCACCACTGTGACCTGTACGCTCTTGTTGGCTGGTCCTCATGTTCGTCTTCAAAACCACTGGCTCCAGGCCATCTATAAATCACTGCTATTAAATTATCTTAGCTCATTGGTCACCATAGCAGCACCCACCCGTAGTCTGCGCTCCAGCAGGTATATCTCACTGGTCATTCCCAAAGCCAACACCTCCTTTGGCCGCCATTCCTTCCAGTTCTCTGCTGCCAATGACTGGAACGAATTGCAAAAATCTCTGAAGCTGGAGACTCTTATCTCCCTCAATAACTTTAAGCATCAGTTGTCAGAGCACCTTACCGATCACTGCACCTGTACACAGCCCATCTGAAATTAGCCCACCCAACTACCTCATCCCTATATTGTTATTTATTTTGCTCTTTTGCACCCCAGCATCTCTATTTGCACATAATCTCTTGCACATCTAGCATTCCAGTGTTAATACTATTGTAATTATTTTGCACTATAGCCTATTTATTGCCTTACCTCCATAACTTGCTACATTTGCACACACTGTATATATATTTTCTGTTGTATTTTTGACTTTATGTTTTTTACCCCATATGTAACTCTGTGTTGTTTTTATTGCACTGCTTTGCTTTATCTTGGCCAGGTCGCAGTTGTAAATGAGAACCTGTTCTCAACTGGCTTACCTGGTTAAATAAAGGTGAAATAAAAAATAAAATAAAAATGATGACGCAGCCACTTGTTGGGGATGGCGCACTATCGCAGACTAAGGTCTCGGTTAGTGCGATTCAGACCCATGCTGCGTTCACGGAGGGCCCGATTACCACGGTGACGAAGGTTCCCAGTGTATCGGCGCCCCCACTTCTTTCTGAACGTGCTAATACTCACCACACTGAGCGTAGTTCAGCCCACCAGAGGTGCAGAGCTGAACACACACAGGAGGTGAAGGGAGGAAAGATACCAAGACACCGTCTTTGCTTATCTCAAAGAGACCTCCCATTACAGACCCCAAGGAGTACTGTAGTGAGTGTCTCTCATAGCAGGCTGCAGTCTCAGTCAGGAGACATGATGACGCAGCCGCTATTTGGGGATGGCGCACTATCGCAGACTAAGGTCTCGGTTAGTGCGATTCAGACCCATGCTGCGTTCACGGAGGGCCCGATTACCACGGTCACGAGGTTGCCCAGTGTATCGGCGCCCCCACTTCCCTTTGAATGCGCTAATACTCACCACACTGAGCGTGACTCAACCCACCAGGGGTGCAGAGTTGAACACACACAGAAGGTGAAAGTTAAGAAGGTATCAAGGCGCCGCCTTGTTTTACCTCATAGAGACCTCATACTACAGACTTCTAGGAGTACTGTAGTGAAGGTCTCTGATAGCGAATTGCAGTCACCTAAGATGACGCAATCGCTTGCTGGGGATGGTGCCCTGCCGCAGGCTGTGGCCTCGGTCAGCGCAATTCAGACCCGCGATGCGTTCAAGG